ATGTAAATCTATCTGTTAAAAGGAAGACAAAACAATGTTATTAGCGACCAATGTGTGTTCCTTATGTCACATGTAGGTTATGAAAATGGTCCTTAGAACTTAAGAATCATCTGCATTGCAGATTTTAGGGGGTAGTTAAACAGTCAACAAGGTTAAAGTGTAGCAGTACGTATTCAGAGTAATACATACATTTGAATTGAAAACTGGTGAATAGTGCAACATGCAGGTAGCAGAAAGCTATGGTTATAGGATGGGTAACATGGAGACCAGAAAAACTATCTATGAAAAAGACTTAGATCTTTATATTGACAAGTCAATTTTGTCTTCTAGTCAATGTGGAGTAGCGATAAGAAAGCCAAAGATAATGTTATGCTATATATAGTTAAAACTGTTATTTTTAAGCAAATAATTGTATGTTAAATTATATAATGCACATTGCAGGGCTGCAAATATGACAGGCTAGGAAAAGGGAATCTTTATAGTTTTCAACAGAGAAGATTATGACAGAACCTGAATCATGCTTTCAAAATCCCCAAATGCACTGACAAAGCCAACCCAAAAGACTTCTTCAGAATCAACAGTGAAACATGAACCAGGGACAGAAATGGTAACAACAGGGACGTGAATTTAAAACTGAGAACAGGAGGCACTATTTTAGACAGATGGCTGTGGGAGTCTGGAACACGCTACCAAGCCAAGTTGTCAAAGCTTATACCCTAGCTTCTTTCAAGAAATGGCTGGATGAGCTCCTTGGATCAACTAGCTACTAGCAACCAAAATAATTAAAAGTGACAAATGGATTTCTCTCAGTTGTAACCTTCCTTATGCTCAAAAGTCAGTTTTCTAGCAGGACAATGCAATACCACACAGTGTCTGATTACAATAGCATCAACAACACAAAAGTTAAGATCTAGTGGCCAGCTATTTCTTCTGATCCGAGTCTGGCAAAACATCTGTGGGACCAACTCACCAATACCAATAACTGGTTGACAACTGAGAGCAACCAAAACTGCCAGCTGTTTGCAACTGCAGGCAAACAGTGGCGGAACAGCCCAGAGCAATGCATCCAAAGGCTGATCAAGTCTATGTGTCAAAACTAGCAAATTTATTCATTATGCTCACAGAGATTGTACCCACTACTAATTTGGTAAAGTTTCATTTACAAACACTGAAAATATATTATAATTCTTAGAATAATATTTCTGTTCACATGGTCTGTTATTTTGTTATATACCTATTTTTTTTAATGATTTGATCAAATCCAGCCACCCCGAGTGATGCTTTTCATTAGAGAATCAGTATAATAATGAGAGCAGCCGATACTGAAACAGCTGAATGAAAAATATGAATGTTGACTTTCATCTTTGGCAACCGTTATTTCTTTCTTCCACTCTTTTACTTCTAAACTGGGATGTTTTTTTTATTTTTCTGCACTGCTGATTTGTCTAATAAACATAAATAAGGGTAAAAACTGAAGTAAACTGACTAAAGATATAGAACAACAGTGTGTGGTCTGAAGTAGAAATATATCTTTATTATCTGCAGTAGATGTTCATTGTTGCAAGAGCTTTTGTTGAGCACTTCTTGAGAAAATGAATGGCCAAAGAAAATGTGCCTTTTTAAGCAATTGGTGCTATTTTTAGACATGACAACACAGGAGGATTCCTGAAATGAGCAGCCATTCCTCTTTTCAGCATTGAGAGCATGCTTCAGATTGTATCTCAATAACAATCTACGTTGATGAATTGAATAGGCATCATTTATTTCATATGTTCATTTTTTAGTGCTTTTAGAAAATGAGGATGATGCATACTGTAGCTTTACAATTTTCCTATTTCTCTGTTGTTAATCATAATAGATCTTTTTGCCTGTGAAACAGCTGAATTTCTATAAGTAAGCAGGCTATGCTTTCTTATGATATACAGTACAGTATACTGTAATATGTATAAAATGTTCTCTATTTACCAGTGGTCTATTCATAGTATAAATAAGCTTCATAGAAATATTTCCACTGCTTTAGTACATACTGTATTAATTATATACAGTTCCTAGACACCTGGTAACAGTCTCATTTTCCTGTTTGAGATGAATACAGGAAAGCAGAAATTGCCTGCTGCATAAGGCCTCCAATGGCTTAATTCCAGTGCAAGATGTTAAAAAAGAGCTTTGATTAAAAAGACATACATTTTATAAATTCCAGGTGGGTTTAATTGGACAAAAGTGTCCAATACTGAAAAGGTCAAACATTTAATTAAATGTAATGCATAATATCAGACTCAGGTCTAGAATATTATCTGCTTGCACTATTTTAAGTGACTAGAAGTACAAAATGTGGGAAAACACTAAAATGGCAAATACAATGTTGTAATCTATAGTTTAAAGTGTAAAATTTAAATCAGTGTTATAATTGAGCAACTCTAGCATCCGAGATTAGTATTAGTCTAGTCTCAGACTGCATATAGAATATTGTCTTCTGCTCTGGTCATCATTAATAAAAATATATTGATGCTGTGGAATCAGTCTAAAGGAGAACAACCAGACAATTTCCATTCTCAAAGGAATGTCCTATAATCTCAGGCTAAAAGAACTCAATTGTTTTAACCTTAACAGATAAGACTGAAGGGATCTGATTCAAGTTTCCAAATCCTCAAAGGTATTTCAGTACTTTGGTCAATTTCTAATTAATGCAACAAGACAACAAATATAAAGGGATAGAGCATTTAATAGTCTAGCATTTGCTGTTGTCTCTCCTGGCTGAGAAAATGACAGTCCTGGCCTTAAGGTGAAGGCTATGTATGGTATACATACAGTAAGACAGTGGAAGTACAAGATTGCAATTTGACTCACTCCTGAACATCTAACAATTGCATTAACTATGGACTTCAACAGTGTAGTACAACCCAAAGGAAAGACATGTAATGTATTGTACAGGGACATTATTTTACAGTACAAACAATAACAGGAGGCAGTATCTTACCTTTAAAGGGTTATGAGTGTCTGGAACAAGCTACCCAGCCTAATGTCAAGGTGGATTATATTGCTTCTTTCAATAAATAGTTGAAAGAGATCCTCAGATCGATTAACTACCAAAAAGGAAATGAGCAAATGGGCCTCATGACTTCCTGTCTTTTTTGAGCTAGGTGCAAAAAAATGTAGCCTTCTTGAGTGTACAGTATGTGTTTTTTTCATTGTTTAAATGGCTTCACAGATAAATAGATAATTTTGTTTTTTGAATGTGGTGTTTGTTTTACTGGTGTGCTTGCAAGCTCTGATTGATTTATTTAGCTGTTTCAGTTGTCAGATGAAAGTCACAGTCTGCTTTACAAGGCACCTGGTAACAGGTTTATTTTGCAGCTGAAGATGAATAGTGGAAATGAAGCAACCTCTTTCTCTGCATTGTTCCCAGTGGTAAAATTCCTTTGGGAGAAATGTAAAAAATGAAAAGGCAGCAAATATTGGCTGGTAAATAATACACTTCTGCAACTTCAGGAAACACTTGGTGTTACAGAGGACTCATGGGTCCAAGACTTTGCAGCATCACATAGTACAGTATTTAGAATGGAAATTATATAAACATTCTTTTAAAAGGAAAAGCAGCATTATATGTTTTCATAGGATTATATGTTTACATGTTTACAGGATTATATGTTTTCATAGGATAATGCAGTGATAAAGAAAGACAAAAAATAAAATAAATAGTAAAATAATAGAATACACTGTAGGGCAATCAAACATTGACCCTTGTAAAATGGCGAGTTTTAAGTTTAAATTTGAGGAGAATTAAAGAATTTGTCTCTTGAAGAGTCGGAGGAAGGGCATTTCATAACAATGGAGTAATGACAGAAAAAGCACAGTCACTAAATGTCTGAGATTTAGTCCCAGGTACAGTGAGCAAAAGGACCAGCCTCAATTAAAGGAGCCTATGTTAAGGAGTGTAACATGGAGTTTACAGATTTATGATGGAGCCTGATTATTTAAAGTCTTAAAAGTCAGTAACAAGATCTTATATAGAATACGTGACTTTATAGGTAAACTATGGAGAGATTTACAGTGTAAGAGTGACATGCTTCCAGGGATGGCTATATTTTTAATTAACAACAAGAATATGAAATTTTCTTTTCAAGAAACTTACAACATGTCAACCACAAAATGCACTCTGAGCACCATGTTATTTGACTTTTGACTGGTTGATGACATCTTGTAGACCAGGAACAACTTGGTTTATTGAATTAATGTTCTGTGACTACTCCTCTGACACTTCTAAAATTTAAATCGTTCAAATAGCTGAAATACAATACAACTGTCAAAGTGTACTACCAGTCAGCCTCATTCACTGGTGGAAATAGGATTTTAATGCCATGTGAAGATTTGTTAGTCTACTATACATACACACCACGATACATACCATATATATGTAAAATATAAGAAACATTTCCATAGTGTAAATTTGATTGGCTCACGACAGGCGATTTTGGTCATGTCGAAACATTTCTTTAACAACATTCACAGAGGTCAATGAAAACTTAATATATGCCAAGCATTCACCCAAATTCCCTGACGACTGTAGAACAAGAGGCTTCCTCCTGTCAATCTGTCTTGGAAGCCTAGTTGCATCATTGAGCGAATATCTAGTACTTCAAGGGCACAAAATCTAGAGGCCACATTGTATATTTTTCTATATTCTATATTTTATTCATTTTATTCTATTTTCCCCCTGTACTGTATATCTTAGCACATTGTATGGGGGGAGGGAGGCAGAGAGAAACAGCTTTACTACAACAGTGTCCAACTGATGCTATTCATAAGTACCATTGACAACATTTTCTTTTCTAGTTAGAAATCAGTTCAGGATAGGAGATGTTTTTTCTTGGACCCAGGTGATCCTTCGTTTTAGTAATTTAAGTTCTGCTGATAATGACACCTCTGTGACACCATGGAAATGGGTAACAATATAATTAATTCTTATTGCTGATTAAAAAAGATGCTTTTTCTATTCACAGACAACTGCGCAGTCTGGAGAGAGATATAGGCAGCTGCCTCCTTCCTTGTTGACCAGTCCCATATGACTACAGAATGTTCTCAATGTGACAGCTTGAAGAATTGTATGCAGTATGTGGCATTGTATTACGTTTGATCACATGCAATTTATATTTTATATTGTTTTTGGCAAGCTTTATTTTCAGATCTGTTTCTAGGTTTCTTATACACTACCTCTGTAATAGAACAATATTAAAAACTAACTTGTGTATAAAGAAGTCACTGATTGCTAGATTGCAGTACCTTGTATATTTTAGCAGCTTTTTAATTTAAGTGTAAGTGAAGTATTGAAACTACTTCAGTAAAAGACAATATTGATCTGTCCAAATCTAAGTCACTTAAATTGGCAGCTATTATGTTTGCCTGGAAACCTAACTAAAATTATTAATAAATAATAATTAATTACCAATTGGTGTCCTGTTGCACACATTATTGGATTATAATAATAACAACAAGACGAAATGTGGTTGCATGATCTTGCATACAAGTGAACTGGCACATCTTTTCCAAAGCAAGTAAGAATGCAATACTTTTTAATCACTGATGGCCAAGAACAGAACTAGAAGTTTTATTCAAGAGCTCTTTAGTGTGCTTCAGAATGGTAGGCTGACAGAAGCCTCAAAAAGCATAGTAATAAAGCTATTATCATCATTTGCTATTTGCAATCACTAAGCAGTATACATATTATTCGCCCAGATACCAATATGTATATACAGTACCACATTAAAAGCCCTGATTAATATTTGATAAGCAGCAAAGTAAACACTGCATATTTTCCCTATTGTAAAAACATCAATAATATTCTCACAGCTAAATAGTAAAAAAAAAATGCTTTGTAGAGTACATTGTCACCATTATATAAGTCCTTCCACAAATTGCTTATATAACAATATTGGAATGGAGCATGCAAAACTTAAAATGTGCATTTCCTGTTTGATGTGTGTATAGAAAGGGGTGGGTAGGGTAGAGACATCTATGTGATTTCTTTTCAGATGTGTATGCAATTAAAATGCTATTGCATACACTTAGTGCAGGCCTTTACATTTTGTGTACATTAATGAGTGGAACTGTAGCTCTGAGATTTACAGAAAAAAGCTGTACTAACTGTATGTATCTGCACATTAAGTTCATAGTAGTTAACCTACACATGCATGAAACTTATGATTACAGGTATCACCCATTGTCAACACTCAGGAATCCAGCAATGTAAACATTGCAATGCAATGTAAACATTGTGATACTGTACATAAAGATTATATGGAAAGGTAAGATGGCTTTGAATGTAACATAAAACAAATCTATAAATCTTCCCTCAGCTGACTGTTAAACCACATTGATCACTTGCCCTCTTCTTATGAAACCCCTCTCGTTCTTTTTAAATTTGCTCACTTAAAATAAAATCCAGTCTGCAAACCAGATTGTCCTAATTGCTTCACAACAGCTCTAATGTAATGTTGCAAATGTCTGGCTCTGTTGCCCACAGTGTTCTTTTCAGTCTCTCACCACAGTGCAATTTAATGTCTGAAGGAAAGCTTGTAATGCACTTCACCGATATCTTAAATCAACAGACTTGTGATAAGGCTGATGACTCACGTATAGTCTATGATAATTTGTTAATGAGCTATTGATTTTATCTAAGATCTTAACCGCTCTATACACTGAATCTAAATGAGAATTCTGCACAGGTAATTTAAAACACACTGGCAGCTGCAGAATTCTTTCAGGATGTAATTACCAACTTTTTTCATGCTTTTTAATAGCAGAGGCATTTGTTGATTTTTTTTAATAATGGTGATAAAACCAAATAATTTACAAAGGGAGATTAGAAAGCAATTTCTTAAAGGTTGTTATTCCTTTGTAAATAACAATGGCTGAAAATACAGAGCAAGATGAGAGAGTTACTAATGCTTTCTATTAATTAGTTTAGGGGAGCCTTACTTTATTTTAATAAAGGGCTGTTTTAAATAGAAAATAGGAAATGCCTCAATGTTATGAATTCCAAATCTGATACCTAATGGAAGAACAGATTTGTTCAATAAAGGGAAAAAACCAAAGACTAAGATGGGATGAGACAAACGTTGTTGAGACTATAGTGCAATAATTAAATTATTATAGGAATTTGTTTTTGCAGAACATGTTCCTCTTCCTTTGCTTTTATCTTTGGAAATGCCTGTGCAAAATGCAAAAGCATGATTTACTCACATTTTGCACAGTAAAAAGATTTTCTTTTAAAAATATATCGTTCACATAAGAAATTAAATCATTCATTGCTGTCTTGAGCCATTAATTTATTTCAGAACATCCATACTTGAAAACCTGATTTCTGGGAAAAACAGAAAGCTCTCTTGGATATGAAAACAGCAAAGGAGAATTGTGTTTGTTTTTAATAGGTGTAATTGATTGTATCTTGAAAGACCTCATGCATCAGAAAAGCACAAAGAATTCAGGTCAGACAAGAGGGTAGAAGCTGACAGAAGATAAGTGTGACACTGTCAGGTCTGCAGGAGTTTTTTTTTAAATAAATACATCCTCACCCACTTTCCCCAGAACAGATGCTGAACTCGTAGGTTAATCTACAAATCATTACATTTCTTTTGAACACATGGTGCCAGTAGGACTTAAAATAAAACAACAGCAACATACAGAATAACAGCAGAAACAACAAAATATACTGCACATTGAACTTTGATTCTAAAGTATATGCTTTTAAACAAATACAAGACTTCAAACCATTGTAACTTGTACTCATTAATGTAAGTTTTTTTTAACTACATTTTCCGGAATGTTCCACTTTCTTTTTTTGCAAATACCCAAATGGTTTGTGCTTCAGTGCATCCCTTTTGGTAAAACATGTTCATATGCCTGCAGCTCAGCAGGAAAGTGCAATGTAATTGAGATGTGAGATTGTCTAGAAATGATTATCATAATGATGCTAATTGGACTTCTGTGTGATTGATGGAGTTTACTTTCACCTTCAGTACATCACAATAAACCTCTGCATGTCTTCCAATCCTTTAAAGGTAACAGAAATGTATGCAGAACGTGAACACCTTAAAGAAAAACCCTTTAAAAGTTCAAAAAATGAAAGGAGCACTAAGTATATTGCCCATACTGCATATTTCCTATTTAATCATGATCATGTTTACACTAAGCTTATGCACCTCAAATCATTTCATGTAGTAAAATTCAAAAGTAGTGGGTTTTGATTTATTCAGCTTTCCTTGACGTGCAATATTAAACCTTTTCATCAACTGTGTAATTTTTTTCATAGAGTTACCTCAAACTGTAACACATACGTCAGCTGAATTAAGTGTCAAAGTGAAAGCATTCCCAGAGCTGGCAGATTTTGTCATTACCAGAGGTACCTTTTTATGCTTTGGCACACCACCTTTGTCCTGTTTTTCTCTGTGTGTAAGATTGGGTAGAGCTGTCAGATGCATCCATTTACTTATGGAGAAACCTGAAAACAAAGAATCTCTCAAAGAATTCTTGGCACTTGAAATTACAGTATTTATGATAATGAAACAAGTGCTTCTTCTACAGTCACCTTCATCCAACAACCAAAACAAGAAATAAACAATGAAATTCATTAATAAAAAAACTTTCCAGTTACAGATTTATAATTTCTACAGCATTGACCTCAAAAGTAATAAAGATATGAAAAAAGGGCATTTGATGCAGTTCTAATTGGATTCAAGCACAGAAGAAGTCGAATGAAACTGGATAGTAACAAAAAATAAAGTCAATTCTACCGTCACTTAATGATCCAGGAAAGAGTAATGAAAATAGTTAAGTGTAGGTTGTATTTTGGAAGCAGGAAGATGACTATTTAGTTGTAGTAAAGTACTGTAAAGTCCAGGTGTAGTGAAGTGTAGTTTAGGACCCTAAGCATACGGTATAATCCCAAAGTACACTAAGTGGAGAAGGACATCAGGGGAGGAGACGTAGAGGATCAGGACAGGTTGACAGACGGGGGCGTGGTGATGTTGATCTGGTGCTCGTGGGGGCGTGGCGTAGGCAAACAAATCCAAACAGTCCAAGGGGAAAATCTGGGGCACTGTCCAGGTCCACGAACCAGGAGACCCATCCAAGACAAACAAGGTTAAAATTCGGAACGGGATCCGGAACAGGAACAGGAAGTAAAAACCAGGGTTACGAGGCCAGGCGCTCTGAGCCCCGGACTCAGATGTTCAGGACGCCGTGATGAAGCCTATGCCGTCGGGTCTCTCCAGGACCTGCTGGTAGGTGGGCTTCCGGGTGTCCATCTCCCAATGCTGAGCCAGGAATAGGGGGAGTGCCAGGCTTGAATAATTACAGACAAAACAGTGGGCAGGTGGACGTAATCAACTAAAATACGAAAGGGTCAGAGTGCCCTTAAGAGGAGGATTGACGATTGTGACAGTATGTAATCTTACCTTTAAACTTTCACACAGATCTTTTTTTATTTTCACTTATTTTGTTAAACTTAAATCTACACGCATAAATTGTATTAACATTTAAATAAGTAGTACCACAACTACTGGAAATTTCATTGTAAGAAAATACAAAGTGCTTTAAATTCCTAATAACCTTTAATAATATGTGGCTTATTTCTAAGCAAAAGCATTTTACAGAACATTTAGTCACCAAGGTTTTCATATGCCCCTAGGTGATAAAGAGTATTGATTTTACTTCAAAAGGGACAACTCTTTCATGTAGAATTTGATTGATTGTGCTGTGCCTTTCCTCGGAAATGTCATGTCTGCACAAATGATTAAAACAACCCTGAATATGTGTCTTAGGCTATTATGTTTGACGCTGTCCATTCTTTTTCTTGCTAGGTCAAGGACTGAGTTAGTATGCTGTGGACTATGAGCCCTTAGTTAAAAAAGAAAAACAGGCAATTGCCTTAAACATTCATATTCATTTTTTAAATTCCATTGTCTACTGGGTGTATAATCAAATAGTGTTTAGTTTCGGGCTCAATTGTGAATACAAAGGATGATGTGTAGACATAATAATAAGAAAGTAGCAAATGCTCACTTGAAACGGCTTTATTCCAGTAACATGCAGTCAGGTCAGTAGTTGGGTTAGGGTTTGGGTTAGGGGGTAGGTTTCTAGTCTAGTAGCAGGTTTCTAATCACCCACTGTGATTGTATGATTCAGCCAATGAAAGGCTCTAAACTTCAATGAGTGCTTTATTATCATAAGACACGACATGCCAAATTGATGGTTATTGCCTGGAAAATAATGCACTGTAAATCATGTTAAGAAAGGCACGTGCACAACCGAGCCAAGTGGCTTGCGTTCAAGCTCAGTGGCAGGGAAAGGCAAAGCACATCTTCGCCTCCAGTCTCCTCATCAAGATCGGGGCTG